GGGAGAAGGGAGATAAGGGAGGGAGGGAAGAGAGATGGAAGCTGACAACTTGGACCTGTTCCGACACGCTCTGGAATGATTATATCGTCAGGCCCCGTGACAGTCTGCGTTTAGTTGGCGTATTTCTATTACATTTGCATTTGAATATTGCCGAACATCTCAAAGTGCTTCACAAAATTATTCTACAAAATGGTTTAAAGGTCCCACAACGCCATTCATCATCATCATCATCATCATCATCATCATCATAATAATACTTACATTTGATACAGTGCCTCATCACGTCTTTGAGACGTCTCAAAGCATTTCGCAGAATATACTCTGTGCCGCGCCCGACAATCCCATTCCCGATAAAAAATGATCACTCACTTGATGGCTGCTCGTGGCAACTTGCCGAGCGCAAATTAGATGCCGGGTCCACCTGCAAAACACACAGTCACTACACGTAACAAGAATGCTTCAATGTTACGGGGACCGTAACAAACACGGGGATGATTGTGTTTTATATATAAATTCTGTTACGTTTAGAATGATTAATTAGCACAGATCCGAACCAGGGGTTAAAGAGAAGTTAAATAAGGCAGGAATTTTTTTTTTTAGAAAAAAAAATGTACATTTGACTCTGTCGCCTCTAACGCTTTCCACCGTGTCTGGTTCTGTCAACTCATTCGCTGCAGTCAGTGTCTCATCTTGTACGCAAATTTGAGATTTGTCATTAATTTCACGATTAACGAGACTGAACTGTGTGTCTCAAAGCTTTCAGAGTTAACGCACAATGTTTAGCAAAGTCGCCTTTTCCGAACTCCTGTTTCAAACCGTAAATTACATGTTAACGACAACAATAATAATCGTAATCCTTGCATTTGATCCTTATCCTTATCACGTCTTCGAGACGTCTGAAAGCCACTCGCAGAATATACCGTCAAGTGTAGTGACTGTGCATTTTGTGGGCAAAACGCAGCAGCCAATTGTGCACAGCAGCGCCCCGCAAACAGCCGTGGATCGAGTGAGCAAATTGTTATTATTATTTATTTTTAAAGGGATGACTGTCCCCGGCGAAGCCAATCGCCGATCAACTGTCTTAATTTGGAAGTCAGTTTAACTTTAAGAACCAGCGCTTAAGAGTCCAGACCGTATTCGAGAATTTTCTTTAATTCTGCCCGATGTGAGATATTAATTATTATTATTATTAATATTATTAGGAAACAAAATGGTCGGGACGGGCAGAAAATTCGGCTCTGATGGACGCACACCGGCCGCGGGGTTCCGGTGCCAGTCCACCAGGCGGCGGCACTGAGCTCAAGATAAACCGTCCACCTCAATAAACTGCTCCGATGAAACTCTCAATCAGTGCTCTCCGATCGCTTTCCGGGAAAATAAACGCTCCCCCCCACCCCCCCACCCCCCACCCAAAAAAAAAGTCACTCAATCCACGACTGCTTGTGGGGACTCTGCCGCGTTTGGCCCACAAGAGACGCAGGGACAGCCATTCCGCTTTACATTATAGTCTGTGCTTTGAGACAACAACAACAACAACAAGATTCCATTTATAAAGCGCCTTTCACGTCAGGAGGACGTCCCAAGGCGCTGCACAGTTGGGTCGTGACCCGAGCAGGGGGGAAATGGTCAGGGTGAGGGGAGGGGAGGGAGGGAGAGAGGAGGGGGGAAATGGTCAGGGTGAGGGGAGGGAGCGAGGAGGGGGGAAATGGTCAGGGTGAGGGGAGGGATGGGAGGGAGCGAGAAGGGGGTAGAGAGTCGAGAGGGGAGCTGAAGGCTCGGTCAAAGAGAAAGGTTTTGAGACCGGCCTTGAAGGAGGAGAGGGAGGAAGCAAGGCGGAGGCACTGGGGGATAGAGACGTCTCAGTGACGGAGAAGGCGAGGAGTTTTTTTTTTAATATTGCTTATCAGATTGTGGAGCGAAGCCAACAATCAGCGGGTCAGAGTCTGTACACCCCGTACACGTCACCATCAAACTGCTGCAGGATCGTAAACCGGATTAAAAGGGGTCAGTGATCAGCAGCTAACCCTGTCTGTCCTCTCCAGGCCTCTGATACTGCTTGTTGGTCCAAAATGCAACCCCTTTCCCCCCCCCCGCCACCCTCCGCCATCCCATCCCATGGCACAGGGCCACTTTTAAGAGCAGAGAGGAGTGAAGCGCTGATTGAAGACAATATACAATGGAACCTTCTCCCAATTAAAGGGATGTAAGCAGTCAGCCCTGACCACAGCGTGGCCAGAACTGCAGGTTACACAGCAGGAGTTTGTTGATTCAAATCCCTGTTCTCAACTGTGTGTATGGAGGGGGGGGGGAGAGAGGCTAAATAGGTCTCAGCTCTTCCCCGGGGTTTGGGAGAGGAAAACCCAAACAGAAAACTCTCTCCCTCCCCCAAAAGGCTGTGGATTATGGCTGGATCCATTCAAACTTTCTAGACTGAGGTGGATAGATGTTTGTTAGATCAGGGTATCGCAGGGTATGGGGCAAAGGCGGTTGATTGGGGGTTGAGGTGCAGATCAGATCAGCCGGGATCTAATGGCGGAACAGGCTCGAGGGGCTGAGGGACCTGCTCCTGGCCCCTCCGTGTGCGTGCGTGCGTGCGCGTGTGGCAAGGCTCACACACGTGACCCTCCTTTCTCTTGCTCTCCGTTCCCCGTCAGTGCAGTCACACTTCCAAAGACCAGAGAGCTGTTGAGTTGACTCATCACTCACCTGATGGTCCTGTGGCCCCGGATCGACACTGCCCTCTGCTGTTGGTCTAAGCCATATTTCAGCCAATCAGCCGGACACTCACCGCGGGTGTGGGAATCCCCAGTGAATTCCAATCAGTGGAGTAACAGCGGGCGGGGCAGATTGGTTAATTCAGGTGGGTCTTGAAGTGTCTCAATGTCTGTCCCAATTTCCTGTGTTGACACTGGGAAGTGAGTTCGGTCATAAAGAATTAGGGTATTTGGCATTGGGTCAAAACCTCAGTCCCACAAAATACAGGACACGCGTTTCGCCCACAAAACACACAGTCAATTCACTTCACAGTATATTCTGCGAAGCGCTTTGAGACGTCTCGAAGATGTGATGAGGCGCCGTATCAAATTGCAAGGGTTAGGCCTTCCTGTGAAGCGTAGCGACCGTGTGTTTTGCAGCCGAACGCAGCGGAGCCAATTTGCACACTGCGACGTCCGGCAAACAGCCCCGGAATGGATAACCGGTTCTATATGGGGATTGTCAGCCACAGAGAGAGAGAGAGAGAGAAATTCTCTTCTCTTCTCAAATGACATTGTGGGATCTTTAACGTCCACCTAAACAGACGCAGATGGGTCTAATTTAACGTCTCATCTGAAGGATGGCTGACAATACAGCAATATCCACCCCCCCTCCCCCAGGAATATTCCGATAGATAACCCTCTGTGGCGCAAAACTCCGCCTCGTGACAAGTAAGTACAACTCCAGAAGCCGACTGAACGAAACAGGACTCAAGCCACAAAGCCACAGAGTAAAAAAACGTCATTTTATTACACTCCTAAATAAAAAAAGACTACCTTTTTCACTGAAGTCATATATAAAAACAACTCTTTTGTGAGTTTCACCAGGAATACAACTCCCCCTCCCGAACGGAGAGGCAATGAGCAGAATTCAGTCAGGAACGAAGAACAATCACAGTGTTAAGAAAATTGCTTTTTTGTTAATTAAAACACATTTTAAGATGGGTTTTATATATATATTTTTTTTTGAGGGGGGCGGTTTTAAAAAAAAAAGCGGGTAAAACTCAAGCAGCTAAAATTACCCCTCCCCGATCTTCCTTACCCCAATCCCTGCCCCTTAAGACAGACAGACAGACAGACAGACAGACCGCTTTGTCTCAAGACCCGCAATATTACAGAAAGCCCTTAAAAAAACCTCTTAACTTGGAACTTTTTTTATTAAAAGGAGTTACTCGACACCAGGAAGGTGGAAGGCCATCTTGATGGACCTTGGGCTTTTATTTTCATCCAGTATTTCTTACGCTATGTTCTTAAGTTCACCTGATTAGCGAACGAAAGACCCCAACGCATCCCCGTGTAGACACGATAACAAAATGAAGCTTCCAATCTCAGCCGCTTCACGATCCAAGCAACTTAGCCCGTCTCGAGTCCCGAAGCCATCGTGTTCCCAGGTCTCCAGGTTCACCATCTCTTAAGCCGTTCCTTGTGTTAATCTGCAGGCTTTCACCGTGAAATGTAGTGACTGTGTATTTTGCGAGCGAACACGGCACAGTGGCCGCAGACTGCCATGATAGTTTTTTTTTGCGCGGGCGGTGGGGTGGGGCGGGGGAGTTGGAGAGAGAGAGAATCTCTTTCTCGAATAGGGCTGCGGGATCTTTTTAATGTCCACCTGAACAGGGCACAGACTTGGAGCTCGGTTTAACGTCTCATCCGAAGGACACATTTCTGAACAAACATCAAGTCATAACTTGGGTCACGGCCATGGACTTTTAAGTGGAGACGGGGAGGGTGATGGGCGATGGGGGTAAGGAGAGAGGAAAGAGTTCAGTTTAACAGCACGATCTCAGGCGATGGAAGGGAAGTTACTCCAGTCAACGGACTTCAGAAGTCAGTGACCATCTTTCCAGGTCTCGTGGTTGACGTCAGCGATGTTCACGCCGTGGCTCAGTCTCTTTTGCTCAGGATACTGCTGCAGGAAACCTAAAGAATGAAGCTGGAAATCTTCCTGAATGAAACGTGGGGCCAATGTAAATATTTTCCAGGCTGAGCACAAAGGGAACCAGTTGATCTCGGTTCCCACAAGTCCGAGCCTTGTCAAGGCCGACACAGTAAAGTTACTGGCGTGTTCAGGAACACGGGTCCATCTGTGTCCTGTTTCTCCCCCTCCCACCTGCTCCCCCACTCACTCATCCCCAAACACATTCTCCTGAAACAGAACGAAGGTCAACTGTAACTCCCCCCTCCCTCCCCACCCCACCTTCCCAATCACACCCCCTCCCCCAACCCCATTATCCCCCGACAGAGTGGAGGGGGGTCTGGGTTGAAAACAGAACACGTTGAGCTCTCTCTCTCTCTCTCTCTCTCTCTGGGACGCGGATGGAAAGGGAGCAGATTTCTCCACAAAATTGGCCGGTTATAGGCTGCCTTTCAGGGCACACTCCGACTGCCGTAATAATTCATGGGCTCCGTCTCAGTCAGTGGGATGTTGGGTTTCCTCTCTGTCTCGGTCTCAGACTCGTCCAAGAGCAGAGGTCTGTGTTTGAAGAAGTCGGACATGTATCGGACCTGCGGGTGCAATAATAATAATAATTATTAACAATTACTATTATTATTATTGATAGTAATAATTGTGGAAACGTCTCAAAGTGCTTCACAGGATACACTGTAAAGTGAAGTGATTGTGTATTTTTTGCGGGCGAAACGCGGCAGCCGATTGCGCACAGCAGCGTCCCACAGACAGTCGTGGGTTGAGTGACCAAATTATAATTATTTATTTAAGTTTCGAAGGGATTATTAGCACTGGAAAGCGATCCCCCGTTTAACTATCAAAAATAACAATGACCACCACAACAACCTATTTGGAGAGCCCCTCACGCAGGGCGTAGCGTCCCATAGCGCTAACAACCAGGTTCCTACTGACTGCCGGGCAAACAGAGGTGTGTGTGTGGGGCGTGGGGGTCATACTCACGATTAAAACGGCGACGATGGCTCCCTGGAATAGCCCCACCAGCACGTCACTCCAATAGTGCCGGTAGTCAGAGACTCGGGTGTAACCAACGTAAAGTGCAAAGGCGATGAGGAAGAACTGGATGGTGGGTCTCACCAGCCTCGCCCACTTGGCCTGCAGGCGAGCCTGAAGGTAGAGCTGTGAGAGGGGGAGGGGGGCGCGGGGAGAGAGAGAGAGAGAGAGAGAGAAGAAAAGCAATGACGTTTCGCCCACAAAATACCCAGTCACTCCACTTTACAGTATGCCCTGTGAAGCGCTTTGAGACGCCTCAACGACTTATATCAGGCGCTGTATGAAATACACGATTATTATGATTATTATTATTATTATTAGGCACCGGGAGAAAGAAAGTCCTTTCTCTTTGCCAACAGCTCCGCGGAGATCTTTAAGATCCGCCCGAACAAGGCACAGATGGGGAGTGAGGGTTTAACATCTAATAAGAAGGGCATCGTCTCCGACAACACCTTGACAAGACCCTCACTGTGCTGGAGCATCAGCCTGTAGTCAGTGTCCGAGTTCCAAGTCCCCAAGGCGGGGGCGTTAGCGACTGAGCCAGACCGCCAGCTGTGATAGGCAATGGGGTGAAACTGGGGCAAGAACTTACCGAGAGGAAGACCATGCAATACATCCCAAAGGATGAGTGACCGGAGTAAAACGACAGCCTGGAAAAACATACGAACACAAGACTCAGTCAGACCCTCTGTGCTGTCCACCTTGAGGCAACGCGTAGATAAATAATAATAATAATTATAGAGAAATAATAATTTTTAAAAATAAATGAATAATAGTTTGGTCACTTCGATCCACGATTGTTTGTGACCAAACAATTGGCGCAATTGACTGCCACGTTTCGCCCACAAAAAGCACACAGTCGATTCACTTCACAGTATATTCTGAACGGCTTTGAGACGTCTGGAAGACGTGATAAGGCGCAACATCAAAATGAAAGGATTATTATTACTGTTAATAATAAATAGACGCCCAACCTCATTCCTTTCAACACAAACATTCCCCCCCACCCACACGTGCGCACCCGCACCCCCGCGCACACCCACACACACCCGCGCACATAGCACCCAGAGTAGAGGGAGGGGACGGTTGGGGAGGGGAGGCTTGGGGAGGAGGATAAAAAAAACCTCAAAATACGTTGAAATGACTAACTAATCTTTCCAAGCAATGTGTTAAACAATCCGTGTGCAGACGGTTCCAATTCAGAGTTAAACACTCACTAATTGCGCTCTCTCTCTCTCTCTCTCTCCTCCAAAGTTAGTATTAAGACTCGTCTCCAGTTAATTGTAATCTTGCGGATAATTGACTTAACCCAATGAAGTGCCCTTTGATAATACGTGAGCGGGGATGGGGGGGGTTGGGGGTTGTATGTGTGGGGGGGGAATAAGCAGCTGGGGTTGAAATTCAATGTCACATCCAACATTGCTGTGCACAATTGGCAGTCGCGCTTCGCCCACAAAATACACAGTCACTCCACAATACTTTGTACGCTGTGTCCTGCGAGGCGCTTTGGAGACGTCTCGACGACGCGATAAGCCGCTAAATCAAATGCAAGGATTATTACTATTATTATATTATTATTATGATTAGCATCATTATCCCCCACACCCCTCCCACCCTCTCTCCTTCCCGTGACGCCAGAGAAACAATGAAACACCGACACGCAGTTTCCGCCCCGAGGAGACGGTCAGGGTCAGCAGGATACGCACCGCGCCTCGGTCACGCTCTTGGTTGGCCCCGTACACACACCGTCCGCCTGTTGGTACGCAGAGCAGTTCAGCAACGTCATGTTGGGGTTACACACGGACAGGAAGTTGGGCCGCAAACGCCCCACGGTGTACTTGGCGATGTCGGTCAGGGACTGGCTGATCGCGGAGCCCAGGAAGAAGGTCCCCACCACCTTGTAGAGGGCGGCAACATAGTTATTGCACTCGGACCTCGAGTAGATACGCTTAGTGCAAACCATGTACGCCTCCCCAGTGGTGATCTAGAGAGAGGGGGGAGAGAGAGAGAGAGGGGGAGTGTGAGAGATTGTGTGTGGGAGAGTGAGAGAGAGAGAGAGAGAGAGAGAGAGGGTGACAGAGAGCGAGAGATGAGTTACGAGATACCTGGTCAGAGTGAGTAGTAAACGTACGGAGCTGGTGTTTCACCAGATACACATTCAATTCGCTTTACAGTACAACAACAACTTGCATTTATTCCGCGCCCTTCACTTAGGGTAGCGTCCCAGAGCGATATATATACCGTGTATCCTGTGAAGCGCTTTGAGACGTCTCGAAGACGTGATAAGGCGCTGTATCGAATGCCAGGATTATTATTAATACAACACATGGGGTAATCAACCGTTGTTATATTGCCCCCAAAACATCCCCAGCAACAAAGCTCACGAGGCATCTGGGAGTCCACCCCACCACCCCCCGTTCTCTCCTTGTGTGGGAGGGGGGAGGGGGGGGTGGGGGAAGAAGCCGTCGCCAACACCACCCATCACTTACGATGATGATGCTGGAGGAGATGGTGACAGCCGCCATTAGCTCCATTGAGATAGTCTCCTTTACGTAGGGGTAGCTGATGCTTTCATCGCTGCAGAAGAACCCGCGGATGTACGGTTTGCACCGCACCGTCAGAATGGCAAACGGTAACGAAGCTGCAACAGGAACAGGTTAAGATATAATAGTTAATAATTAATAATAACATTCATCGAGAAAAGTAACATCCATTTAAAAGCAAAGTGCCAGTGTTACGGGTCTGGCTGATCCACCACTGAAAACCACTTAGAATTTAATAATAATAATAATAATCCTTGCATTTGATATGGCGTATTTGAGACGTCACAAAGCGCTTCACGGAATATGCGGTAAAGTGCAGTGACTGTGTACTTTGTAGGCGAATGGGGCAGCCAATTTTGCGCACGGCAAAGTCCCAGAGAAACAGTGACGGAGAGGAGAGTAAGTGACCAATTTTAACTGCGGTAATGTGGGTCAGGACAAAAAAAATCGTGCGGTGGGATCTTTAACGCCCATCAAAACAGCCGTCTGGGACCTCGGTTCAACGTCTCATCCGAAAGATGGAGCCTCTGAGAATGCAGTGCTCTTCCCTGCCCCCCCCCCCCCCCCCCACACACACACAGACACACACAGACACACACACCCACACACACACAACACACACGAGTGTCAGCCCGGACAATACTGGATCCAATTCCCAATTCCAACGTGTGACTCAAACCCACAAGCTTCTGATTTAAGTGGAGAGAGAGTGTCAGCGACTGAGCCCCGACACCACATCATCTTCTAACTAATCTCTGGAATGTGTTTCAGCGCTTTATTATCCTGTAATTGAGAACGGATTGCAAAGAGACTCTCTGGCCGGGAGCCTTAGATTGACGCTGTGCGGATGTGTGTGTGTGTGTGTGTGTTGGGAGTCGGGTCTGGTTGGAAGAGTTGGGCTTCTGAGAATTCTAATCAGGGAGTGTCTTGACTTTGCGAGTTATCTGCTCACAGGGGTTCTGCGTTTTGAGGGCAGATCTGTTCCAGAGGGTTTTATGACTTCCAAAGGGCGAGGAGAGAACAAAAGGTACCTTTAAAACCAGAACCAGTTCCGTAATAATGACTCAGCTTTCATAAGGCTGTTGACCCATTGCACTCAGGGCTCCGTACACCACCACTTAAAGAGGATCTCCTCTTTGCATATATATATATACATATATGTACATATATATATATTATAGCATAACATGTAATAATCCGTGCGATGGATACAGCGCCTTATCACGTCGTTGAGACGTCACAAAAGACATCATACGATACACTGTAAAGTGGATTTTTCTGGGTATTTTGTGGGCGAAACACAGTCGTGGATTTGAAGTGACCACATTTTTTATTGTTTTTGTTTTGTTTGTGGAGGGATCATTACCCCTGGAAAGCCACCCGCCAATTGCCTAACAACCGGGTTCCAACTAACTGCTAGGTAAACAGAGGTCGTGCGTGTGGAGTAAGTAAACTTGCCCAAGGGTTGCCTCGCAAAGGAATTGAACCTGGACTGGCTCTTGCTTGCGAGGTGATCACGCTGATCACTACACTACGGGAACTCCATAAAACACCTCAAACCATTGCCGTCACAGGTGACTCCATCTTCTCAGCTCAGCTCAGCAACGTCCCACACACAGCCACAGAGCGAGTGTCCAATTTTATCTCGGGGATTGTTGGCCAGAACACCGAGAGAGAGAGAGAGAGAGAGAGAGAGACACAGAGAGAGAGACACTCCTCGCATTACACTGTGGGCCGGGGGGGGTCAGCCTGGATTGTGAGCTCAAAGTCTTGAATGGGGGGTGAAATCAAGAAACCTTTCGACTTGGGAGGCGAGTCTGCCAGCACCAGAGGGAATAAAAGAAAGCTTTGCCAACAACACACCGGGGGGTGGTGGTGGGGGGGGGCGCCTGCGGCTTTAAGACATGCAGAGTAAGGAGAGGGCGGCGACTGAGTAAACCAACTACCTGTTAATTCAATCACTGATTCGGGAGCTCGACCTCCTGGAGTGATTGACAAATGCGATGGGATGGTGTGTTGACTTGCACTGATTCCAACAACATTCAACAGAGAGTCAAGTCAGCTCAACGCTGGGATGGGAGGGGGGGTGGATGAGATCAGATGGGCCGAAGGGTCTTCTTCACCCAAACTAATCTCACGATCTTGTGAAAGGATGGGAGTGGGTGGCCTTTGGGGGCTGTGTGTGTGTGTGTGTGTATGTGTGTGTGTGTGTGTGGGTGGGTGGGTGGTATTGACCACATTGAGCACAAAGAATTCAGGCTTTACATATGCGTCTGTATCGACCTGATCCCGAGATCTCTCATGTTGCAACCGAACCAAACTGCAGGCAATGTGGCCAAGTTGCAGGGACGGTCTCGTGCCCTCAAGCAACGAACCTGTTTTGCTATCAGTGACCAAGGTGGACCTGCAAGGATCATCATCTACTGCCCTGCTTCGCCTCCGAAAGGCAGGCGGGGAGGAGAGGCGAAACCGCAATTCAACGAGGTCCCGGGCCAAGCAGCAACAAACAGGATCAGCCACTTCCCGGCTCCTCCTCCTCGTCCTCCTCCTCCTCTCCCTCCACACCAGCCAGCATCACGCTGGAACATGCCAGCACACCCACCCCTTACAATAACAAGGCAACTCGTGAAACAGAAGCTCCTGAACAGCAGCGAGGCTTCACATGACATGTCGCGCTGTCACATGGGAACAACAGGCAAGGCCAAGGAGAGGCTCAACAACAACAAACACAACCAATGACAACTAACACAACAACAGAGACTGGAGCCTCCCTCATATACATAGCTCACCTGTACACGTGTGCGTGTGTATATATATATTTTTTGGTCAACCAGGTGCGGAAACCCATGACTGTTCTTACACAGAGTTCCTACAATTGGAAAAGCGGATGTACACTGTGCATATACACATACACACATATATGTACACACACATACACATACACACACATTGTATATGTATGGAGTTGGTCTCTGATAGACTTTATAGATTACAACAATTTGTCGTTATATCGCGCCTTTTCACGTCAAGAGTGTCATTCGCAGGAACCCACTCAGATGGAGAGACCTCATTTTGAGACGCCCTCTTCTTCAGACACCGCCCCGGGCACGAGTCCAGGCTGCCCAAGTGTTAACCACCACCACCCCACCACCCCCTCACCCCGAGTGGGAGATACTAAACAGATGATGAATGTTCCGAAAGCAGCCTTGGGGGAGGGAGGGAGCAAAGGAGAGAGGGAACAAGGAAGGGGTAGGTGGTGGGGAGGGGGTGGGGGGTGTGGGATGGGTGGAGAACACGATGTCAGGGTTTCTGAGTGCAAAAGATTTCCTTGGAGAATCTGAGTCAAAGTTGAGGACACGACGGGTACAGAATGTTCAGAACAAAGTCATCAGTGCAGAGGAGCAGAGCAGCTTGGACCCTGGTGTCTCGGAGGTTTATAGAGTTCAATGAATATCTACTCCCCCCCCACCACTCCCATCGCCGCCACCCCCCTCCCCCCCCCCCCCGCGTACCGTGAGGGCAATGGGGACACATGTCGCACGAACACTGGCACGGACTGGTGGAGTGAATCAAATCCCTACATAATCCCTCCCCCCACCCCCCCCCCCCACCCCCGGCACCTCCCTAGTCCTGTAGCTCAGCGAGAGACCTGGGTTCAATCCCAGGCAGAGGGCCAAACCTTGGGCGGGTTTCCTTACTCCACACACCTAATAATAATCCCTCCAGACGAAACAATAATAAATCGGTTATTTTCAATCCACGACTGTTTGTGCGACGCTGCGGTGCGCAATTGGCTGCCGCATTTCGCTCTCAAATATTCACTTTACAGTCTATTCTGTGAAGCGCTTTGAGACGTCGAGAAGACATGAAAAGCGCTATATCAAATGCAAGGATTATTATTATTATTATTACCTCTCTGACCTGCTTTCTCCAACTGGCTCCGACCTCCTGCTTGTCTCTTGTCTCCTCTGCTCCACCATCAGCGGACGCGCTTTCAGCCACCACCCCCCGAAGCTTTGGCACTCTCTCCCTCAATCCCTCCGCCTCGCCCCCGGCCTTCACCATGTTTAGACCACAACTAAAGACCTTCCTCTTCGACCGTGCTTACAGTCACCTCCCCCACCACCTGCCTACCGAAGAATTCACTAGGCGAAAGAAGACCAAGGTCCATCCAGTTCTCTTTCCACCATCTTCCCTTCACTTTATCCACAAAACACACAGTCACTACACTTTGGAGTCCTGTAGCTCAATGGTTAGAGCACTCGCCTTGCAAGCGAGAGACCTGAGTTCAATTCCCGCAGAGTGAAACCTTGGGAAAGTTTCTTTACTCCACACACCTAATAATAATCCCTCAAGAAAAAAAACAATAATAATTGGGTCCCTCAATCCACGGCTGTTTGTGGGGACACTGCTGTGCGCAGTTGGCTGCCGTGTTTCGCCCACAAAATACACAGCCAATTCACTTTAAAGTATATTCCGCGAAGCGCTTTGAGGCGTTTAGAAGGACGTGATAAGGCGCTGCATCAAATGCGAGGATTATTATTGTTAATATTTCAGAACTCCCCTGAATTTCGAGTAAACAAAAAAAAACAGATTCAAAAGTTAAGACCGAATCAAACCGTCTGCCCCGACCTGGAATTCTGAATTCTCCCCCCAACCTCCCCCCTCCCCAGCTCACTACACGGGGCGATTGGCTGCTCAGCCATCTGGGAGCAGACCAGACAGGGCATCTCAATCTTGCCTGGATTCGCACTGCAGATTTGGAAACAGATGATACAGAACATTTGATTCATATCCTCTGTTGATCCGCATCCAATCTGTGACTCAATCTCATTGCTCAGTAACCGTTTAGTGAAATGTCACCTCAGCATTCTTGTGTAATTCCCCCCACCCCCCCCCCCCACACACACACATACACAGCCCCACGCAAAAAATAATGTGGTCACATTACTGTGTGCAATTTGGCTGCTGCGTTTCACCCACAAAATATATACAGTCAATTAACTTTACAGTATATCCGCTTTAAGGGTCTCAACAATGTGATTAGGGGCTATAATAAATGCAGGCATTATTATTATTATTATTATTATTATTATAAGCAGGGGGACCGAGAGGGAGAGAATATGAAGCGATTCATAGAGACAATAGGGAGTTCGGAGAGGAGAGGGTGGGAGGGGAATTCAAGGGTCAAAGAGTGTTGACTGTTGACCAAAGGCACGGTCAAAGAGGTTTCAGTCTGAGGGTGCAGAAGGCGTGCAAAGGAGGAGCAAAGAGAGGCAGAGATTTTGGGAGAGTTCCAGAGGGATCCGGGACGAGAGTCGGTTAAAGTCTGACCAGTGATGGTGGTCCAGAGGGAGTGAGGAACAGACTACTCCGTGAACGTGGCTTGTAATGAAACAAGAAGTCACTTTGCGCTCTTTCCAGCTTCTCTCTCTCCCCGGGTGTCCTGACCCACCAATCCCCTAAGTGAAATTGGTCACTCAATCCAGGGCTGTTTGCGCGGGAGGCTGCTGTGTGCAATTGGCCACCGCGTTTCGCCCAACAAAATAGACAGTCGCTACACTTTACAAGGTATTCCGTGAAGCGCTTTGAGACGTCTCAACCACTTGATAAGGCGCTGTATCAAATGCAAGGATTATTACTATTGTAGGACACCGCACATTATTACACAGGCAAACAGTGGCAGTCAGTGATGGTGATATGGAGTAACTGGTTGATACGAATTCAGGAGCAAATGATTTAATCCCCTCGTCCCCCAACATCCACAGTCACCGGAGTTTTCAATTGAAAAATCCTGTGAAGCGCTTTTGAGACTTTCACGATGAGCTAAAAGCACAATATCAAATACAAGGATTATTATAATTATTATTGCGGTCCAGTCTGACACTTCAGGGCAATGCTGGGGGGGGGGGGGGGGGCAGGGGGGTGTTGGAGAGAGCACTGTCAGAGGGACCGTGCTTCGGGTGCGACGCTAAACCAAGGTCCCCACCTGCACCTGTTCAGGTGGACGTTAACAACAAAATTACAACAGCAACAAAATGATGTTTGTACAGCGCCTTTCACATCGGGAGGACGTCCCAAGGCGCTGCATAAATCTATCTATATTACAGTTAAAGATCTATTGGAAAAGAGAAGGGAATAATTCCCTCTCTCTCTCGGTGTCCTGGCCAACAATCCCCCAGGAAAAATTGGTCTCTCACTCTAATGGCTGTTTGCGTGGCATTGCTGTGGCCAAATTGGCCGGAGCCTTTCCCTACAAAGCACCCAGTCCCGTAGCCTATCAGTACTGCAAGCGAGAGGACCCAGGTCCGATGACCGGGCAGGGCAAAACCTTTTGGGCAAGTTTCCTTACTTCACACACTCACACACACGCCGCTGTTCACCTTCTTTTTTCAAAAAAATGCGGTCAATCAATCCGCGGCTGTTTGTGTGGGACGCTGCTGTCCGCGACCGGCTGCCGCGTTTCGCCCACGAAATACACAGTCACTCCACTTTACAGCATATTCTGCGAAGCGCTTTGAGACGTCTCGAAGCTGTGATAAGGCGCCGTATCAGATGCGACGATTATATTACTGTATTTATTACTTCCTAATAAATCTTGTGATTTATGAGGTGTGTATAAAGGCAATGCAGGGGGAGCATTGCTGCATTCAATACAGGGAGACAGTGACGGACTCACACAGTGAGGAGAGGAATATTTTTGGATTAAATAAAAATGACACTTACCTATGAACACACACAAGATGTCCAATAACACCAGAGCGTTCCTCTTCTCAAACATCTCTCAAAATAGGTCCTTTTGGGAACCTTTGCCACGATCCCTCTACACACACACACACACACACAGATCACACACAGATCCACACTCACACACACAGATCCACACTCACACACACAGATCCACACTCACACACACAAATCCACACTCACACACACAGATTCACACTCACACACACAGATTCACACTCACACACACAGATCAACACTCACACACACAGATTCACACTCACACACACAGATCCACACTCACACAGATCCACTCACACACACAGATTCACTCACACACACAGATTCACACTCACACAGATCCACTTTACACTCTCAAACAACTTTCTTTTAAAAGTTTGATTTAAACAAAACAAACACTTCTCCCCTCTCCCAAACACACACACACGGAGGTGAGGGATGTGTGTGGGGGAACTAATAGGGAGGATGTAGGAAGGGGAGGAGAGAGAGAGAGAGAGAGAGAGAGGAAAGAAGGAATAAAATGATCCCAACTCTTGTTTTGCGACTTGAATTTCGGGTTCTTCCGGTAGGACCAGAGAGTGAGAGAGAGAGTGTGAGTGAGTGAGTGAGTGAGTGTAAGAAAGTGTAAGAGTGAGTGAGTGTAAGAAAGGGAGAGTGTAAGAGAGAGTGAGAGTGTAAGACTGAGTGTGAGAGTAAGAGAGAGTGTGAGAGAGAGTGAGTGTAAGAGAAAGAGAGTGTAGGAGAGAGTGAGTGTGTGTGAGTGAGTGAGAGAGAGAGAGTGAGTACTGTCTCGATCTGTGATTGCAATAGGAATTAGTTTGGACTTTCCTCCCAAGTAAGAGAGGGACAGAGAGAGAGAGACAGAGAGAGAGACAGAGAGAGGGACAGAGAGAGGGAGAGAGCGTTTACTGCAATGACCCGAGAAGCCCCGACTTCCCACTTCACTTCTTGTCCATTTCACAACAAGGAGTGAGGGGGTGAGGGAGTGAGGGGGTGAGGGGGTGAGGGGTGAGGGGGGGAGGGAGTGAGGGGGTGAGGGTTAAGGGGGTGAGGGAGTGAGGGGGTGAGGGAGTGAGGGGGTGAGGGGGTGAGGGGGTGAGGGGTGAGGGGGTGAGGGGTGAGGGTTAAGGGGGTGAGGGGGTGAGGGGGTGAGGGAGTGAGGGGTGAGGGAGTGAGGGTGTGAGGGGGGGAATGGGAGAAGGAGAGAGAGAGAAGGTTATGCAGAGAGGAGAGAGAGAGAGACCCCACACACAAAGACACACACATACGAGTCACTGGAGCTTTACTCTCCTCTCCTCACCGCTCTGCTCTCCTCTGCTCTTCCTTACTCCTTCCACTCCTCCTCTCCCTCTCTCCTCCCTCTCCCCTCCCTCCTTCCACTCCTCCTCTCCCTCTCTCCTCCCTCTCCCCTCCCTCCTTCCACTCCTCCTCTCCCTCTCTCCTCCCTCTCCCCTCCCTCCTTCCACTCCTCCCCTCTCTCTCTCCTCCCTCCCTCCCTCCCTCTCTCTCTCCTCCCTCCCTCTCCCTCTCCTCCCTCCTTCCCTCCCCCCAAAAGAGGAAGGATCACAGCTTTCCCCCCAAACAGTAAAGGTTGGGCTGTAACTGATCTCATGTGACGTCAGGAGAAGAGTCACTCCACTTAATCTGTCTGTTCGCCTTCTCTTCAGCTTTCCCCACTGAAGACTTGTTGGCTTTTACCTGGTTTCCTCCGTCTGTGTCTGTGTCTGTGTCCCTGTCCCTGTCTGTGTCCCTGTCCCTGTCTGTGTCCCTGTCCCTGTCTGTGTCCCTGTCCCTGTCTGTGTCCCTGTCCCTGTCTGTGTCCCTGTCTGTTTCCCTGTCCCTGTCTGTGTCCCTGTCTGTTTCCCTGTCCCTGTCTGTTTCCCTGTCCCTGTCTGTGTCCCTGTCTGTGTTCCTGTCTGTGTCCCTGTCTGTGTTCCTGTCTGTGTCCCTGTCCCTGTCTGTGTCCCTGTCCCTGTCTGTGTCCCTGTGCGTGTCCCTGTCTCTGTCTGTGTCCCTCTCTCTCCCCCATCCCGACTGCAGATTTTTTTACACTTCGCAGTTAAGATTTCTTGCAAGAACTTAGTTCTGTGTTTTGAGGGTGTTCTGTTGGCTGGAGGATACCCGGAGGATACCCGGAGGATACCCGGAGGATACCCGGAGGATACCCGGAGGATACCCGGAGGATCCCCGGAGGATACCCGGAGGATACCAGAGGATCCCCGGAGGATCCCCGGAGGATCCCTGGAGGATCCCTGGAGAATACCCGGAGGATCCCCGGAGGATCCCTGGAGGATACCTGCGTTTGCAACTCTTATTTATTTGTTTGTATGTTTGTTTGTTTGTTTATACAGTATTGTGTTTTCAAACAATAAAAGTAACGATAATCTTTGCACGTGTTACAGCGCTTTATCACGTGCTATTATTTGCACAGTATAATCCCGTGAAGCGCTTTGAGACATCTCAACAACACGAATAAGGCTCTGGATCAGATGCGAGGACTGTTTGTGGGACATTGCTCTGCCCAATTGGGTGGCGCAAAATATATTTTGTGGACGAAACACGATTAGACACAGACCCGGGTGGGGATGAATCCCCAATCTCCATGACCCAGAGGGAGCTGAGCTGATCTCAACTTACATTCATTATCACCATTATACAGGATAGCACAAGCCAGTGATATCTGGTGTGTGTGGGTGTGGGTGTGTGTGTGTGTGTGCGGGTGGGTGTGTGTGTGTGTTTGGGGGTGGGGGGGGATGCGCGTTGATAGACTTTAACAAAGATTCCCAACTCCTCTGGTTGGACATATTCCGGGAGTTTTCATCCGATGACCCTAACGTTGGTGAAGGACTGAGTTTCTCCCAAACGGATTCCCTGGACAGCAGAACAAAAATCATCCAACGCTTCTCTGTTCCTTTAGAAAGTGCCAAACGGTGTGATGGCTCTGGAGCCGGGGTTACGTTTCATCACAGTGACACAGCATTGACTTTACAGTTAAGATAACATAAGTTGTAGGCCAGTAAGAGGGTTGAGAGAGGGGCAAGCCTTGATATTTCCAACACTGGCTGGATTGCAGTGTGTCTGGATGTACTTTATAAATACTACTAACAATCCTTGCATTTGATATCGCGCCTTTTCACGTCGTTGAGACGTCTCAGAAGCGCTTAAAAAAAAAAGGCGCGGGTGAAACCAATGAGAAGCTGATAGCAGGATACATGGTTCACAGGGACAGGGACAGAGGAAACCAGGTAAAAACAATTCTCAGAATTCTCATGATTCCTGTGATTGTTCTCGCTCGCAGAGATTAATCTTTAGTTCTCGGAGACTCCAGCACATCCTGGAGGGTTGGCAACATTCCCGCTCACTGCTCACTTCCAGGCCGCTGGCTAACAATGCTCGAAGCGAGGGAGTGCTTGCTCACAGAGATACAAACTGCCCCGTCTCTCTCTCTCTCTCTCGAGAAAGAACATCACATTCTCTTTCCCTTGCCTTGAGGTTACAGTCACCGGTTCTTTCTCCCATTAACCGCAGACACGTTTGTGTTCAAAGTACCGTGTTTGCGCAGAACAGAGACTCGCACAGTTAATCTTCGCTTCTGTTTGAAAAAAAAAGAATCGGTCATTCACGGCTTCATATTTGTGGGACGTCGCTGAGCGCGAATTGGCTGCTGCCTTCGCCTAAGCATACACAGGCATTGGGACTTAACATTAACGAGAATCAAAAGTGTTCATAATAATAATAATCCTCGCATTTAATATTGCACCTAATCACGTCTTTGAGACGTCTCAAAGAGCTCCACAGAATATACTGTAAAGTGTAGTGACTGTATACTTTGTGGGCGAAACACGGCAGCCAATTGCGCACAGCAGCGTCCCAGAAACAGCCGTGGATTGAAGTGACCAATTTATTAGTATTATTCCCGGAAAATCGAATCCGACAATCAACTAACAAGCAGTTCCTACTTACTGCTGGTAAACAGAGGCGTGTGTGTGGAATAGGGAAACTTGCCTAAGGTTTCGCCCTGAGCTGCCCGGGAATCGAACCTGGATCCTCTTGCTCGCAAGGCGAGGGCTCTAACCACTATGCTGTGGGACTCCATTTGTGGTGGGTGAGATCAGCTCGCTCCAGCACAGATCTGGAAGGCATTTCAGAGCCTCGTGGTCTGTGTGTGACCCCAGCTCCGTTATCAGCAGGCCATCAGTGAAGGACCTAACTCCAGGCAATGCCATTAGTCTTGTTTTGGGCTTTGCTCCACATCAGATTTGTTTTGCAGTGTCAGCTTAAGGCAAGTGCATACAAAACAGACGTTGGCATAAGGCCCTTTTGAAACACTCTTGACCACTGGCGCATTCAGCGATTTAATAAACTGGAACAATGTCACCGGTCTGGGCCCTCCAACATGCATGGCCAGAGGTGTGTTTTTCTACCGCGTACATTAAAAAAAAACAATTCCATTTCCTTTAAGTTGGAGGCTGTTTGCAATATTTATTGTTTGCGCTGGAGCAAAGCCATGATTCCATTGGCTTTTCTCCCAACTGGAGAGAGAATGAGATTATTTCCCCATGACACCCCCCTCCACACACACACACACACACACACACACAGGGTGATGATTAATTGACAGCAGGATGGCAACCAGATTCCTTGAGTCAGGAACTCGGTTTCAACTTGTTTTCCTTACAGTCCTTTACAGTAATACTCCCACAGCTTGAAGCTTAACTCCTGAGGTCGAGGCAGCGCAGAGACCGAGACTGATCCCCGAGTGTTGGGTGACGGAGCGAGGCACAACTACAACAACACATTACGTTTACACGCCGTCTTTCGGAAGGACGTTAAAGATCTCGCGGCGCTATTGGAAAAGAGAAGAGAGAATTTCTGTCTCTCCCAGTGTCCTGGCTGACAATCCCCCCCCCCCACCCCCAGAATAATCGGTCACTCACCTCATGGTTATTGGCCAAAATGGCTGTTTCGCTTATGTGCCAAAAAACAGTCACTACACTTGACAGCAATTACAGCAAAGCACCCTGACCTGTCCAGTCGTGCTAAGACGACACGAAAAACGCACTCACCTTCCTTCATCACACAGGGATAAGCGTAGTTACACATCAGAGCCGCAGGAGGTCTCC